CGTCACAATCAGAGCCTTCCAAACTGACCAGCATAAGGGTTATCAAAAAGCAAAATGTGAGAGCATACATAAAAGGTATCAATGCCAATGCCTTTTGCTCTTGGTAAAACTGCTTGAAAGTTTTCTGTGGCAGTTGCACTTAGCAGGACTATACTGGCAGTCCTATATTGGCAGGACACTACTGTAAAGCCAGGGGTAAAGCCTCCTACCCAGTCATTTCAGCTGTCGGCCTGGTTCCAAAGGAATACCGCGATGGTGAGGAGTCAGCAAGACCTGGTCAGCCGTAAGCATAACATCCAGTTAATGGCTGGAAGAGAGGCAGGTGTGATGACAGGTCAGCTTGAAGATGAAGCTTCAAAGTTCATCTTCATGATCTCGTGCAGGCACGGTTACGAGGATGGTAAGGGGTGATGCGACTCGGTGCCGGCAGGTCTTCACAAACCTGATCAGCAACAGCATCAAATTCACGAAGGTAGGAGTTCTTCGTTCTCAATTAGAGACTTGAGACTTCCGCTTCATCGCGGAGCACAAGTACGCCGACTGCAGTTGCCGTGGCACAAGCAGCTTGAATGTCATGAAGAAAGTGAACTCATGATTCTATGAAGGCAGAACGGATTCCGCTTGCACCTCTAATTGACTGGTCATTGAGTAAGGACACCCGCACCGCACATCGCTGCGGTCACGCTCCTCTGAGCACGAAAGAACCTATTCAATTGCATGCGAATCTAAAATGTTCTAAAATCGTTTGTGCACGAGACTATCTAATGCAATCCTTTCTATATCGCAGGAGGGACACATCCTGCTGCGCTGCTACGCGATGCCCAACGAAGACTTCTGGCCCAGGCCCGGCTCCCCCGACTTGCTCCCCGACCACCCCAGTCAGGAATCTTCTATCCGGATTGCTTTTGAGGTCGAGGACACCGGCTGCGGGATCCCCCCGGAAAAGCGCAACCTCGTCTTCCAGGATTACTGCCAAGCCGACGCATCTACTACGCGCAACCACGGCGGCACGGGCCTCGGCCTGGGGATCGTCAGAACTCTAGTCGAAATGATGGGCGGACATATTTCCATCGTCGACAAAACAGGGCCCGGGACGCTCTTCCGGTTTCACTTGGAGTTCCAGAGGGAAGCGCCGCCGAGCGGACCAGTCACGCCATCCCTTGTTCGACGGTCGGACCCCTTCTTTATCCAGGAGCCAGGCGCGCTCGCGCGCTTCCGGGTGGTTATTGGCAGCGGCCGCAGCTTGTCGCGGTCGCTCGCAGCGGCCGCGCTTCGCCGGCAGGGCGCGGCCGTGGTGGAGGCGGCGTCTTGGAGCGAAGCGCTAAAGGAGCTGCGCTGTTTGGCGGAGCTATCGGCGGAAATCCCGGCCGAGCACTTAAACCAGTTTAATGGAGAATCACCGGAGTGGTCAGGGGCTGCCAGCAAGCAGGAGGGGCCGCTGTATTGCGCCCTGCTCTCGCTGTCGCTCTTTTCGAAGGAGCTGAGCGTGGAGGAACTAGAAGCGGCCGCGATGCAAGTGCGCGAGGCGCTGGGAGCTGCAGGTGAGCCACTCGGGTCAACGGCCTCTAAAACAGCAGAAACGAAAGGCGACGTCAAGACCTCAGAAGCAGCTTGATGTCGACGACTCCCAGAAATTCGCGAGACAGACTACCTCGGGTCCCGCTTTGACTACTGATCATGCAATGGGTCTCTGAACCATATCGGTGTCGGTGCTTGAAACGGCCAGAACAATATTATGCGGTCAGCCGCTGAGGCTTACCCTGTATTGCAATTCAATTCAAATTGTGCATTGAAGAATGACTCTGCTCGTCGTCGGCTGGGGACGAAAATGAAAGGGCAGCAAGCATTCAAAGCCGAAGGCCCCTACCTGCTCTTCGAACCGGACATGTTTCTCACTAACTTGGACCTGTGTTTATTCTGCAATCTGCTCAATGAACCGTTGCTTTGCATATTCTTGAATTCCCTCTTTACGTCTCCATATTATGGTTCCTTTTGTTCACGCCTGACTCCCTCGTTTCCTCTACTTAAAACTCCCTCGTATCATTTTGGCCGCCACTAGACTTGGTCGACCAACTCGGCATCCGTTCACCAGATATAATTTCTTTTTAAAACCCGCCGAGGCTGCCTATACCGACTTGAAGAAGCCTCGGGTGTGTATCAAGTACAAGCTTTGTCGAGTTTCCTTGGTTGCACATCGAAGGGTAGTAAGCTGGTACAGAGACTGGATTCTTCAAGAAGCAATCTGAAAGGTGGTGAATCCCGCCGGGTAACCTTTTCAGTAAGAGGTGCCTATCTGTTTCTTTAACTCAAAATGTCCATCTTACAAGTGATTTCCCGCTAGAGTTCATAGCGAGATCTTACTCTGTTCCCCGGTGTGGTTAGTCTGCATCCGATGATGGCCGAAACAGCTTGGTACTGGGGCAGGTTCCCTTGCCTTGGGTCACCAGGGTTAAAGCTCCGGCAGTCGCATCCTTAGTCCTGAAATGGAATACTACAGAAATATTTTTCATTTCCGCCAATAATGTCCTGTCATTGGGGTAACATCGGTTTCATTGCCAGGCTCGTTCAGAACCAGGTAACTATATTCAGTTCCGAGCAGGACTTCTACCACTTTTAACTAGCGGCCAGCTCTTCTCGTAGCCTGACACCTTGCCGCCCCTAGTTTACGTCCCTGGCTTGACCTCCAGCTCGCTCGTCGCCTGCGCAGAAAGTACGCGCCAATCAATCGACGGCCCGCGGGGTGTGGCAGTGGCGTGGGTGGTGTCAGCGACCACGCCGGCCGCGCTGCGCGACGTGCTCAAGCGCGCGGGCTTCCCAATCATCTTCAACAGGCCGCTGTATGAGTCCAAGCTGCACCGGCTGCTGCACACTCTGGCCGGGACTCGGGACCCGGACACCCCCTGCGGCTGCCCGGTGCGAACAACCGGGACGAAAAGCAATGCCTCGCACGCCCGGGCGTCCGAGCCGCTGATGTACCGGTCGGGAGACTGGAACGGGGGCGGGCTCGCGCGAATGCAGAGCGCGCCGTCGGGGACGCGGAAGGAGCGGGAAGAGGTCCACGTGGCAGATGATGACTGCATCGTGGTGGTGGGAGAGGAGGAGGGCGACACGCCTCTGCAGGGGATGGTCGTTCTGGTCGCCGAGGACAACCCGGTCCTGCAGCTGCTCGCCACTAAAACGGTGATGAGTCTGGGAGCGCAAGTTGTGACAGCGGACGACGGCGGCGCGGCGATGGACGCGATCGTGCAGCGGCGGGAGTCGACGAGCCGGCAGTTTGACTTCGTCCTTCTGGACTGCCAAGTAAGCTGACAAAAATACATTCATTGCTGTTTTCCACGCTTCTTCTGGCGTCTCCAGACTCAACCGTTGATTCCAGGAGTAATTTGTCCGCAAATACCTTGCTGATCGGGAAAACTGTAAAATCCTTGCGGAGACACAACGCTGCTCTTGGCAAACGCCTGGATCCCTCCTGGATCAAGGCGAGGACTCGATATTCGAAACCAACTCCGCGTCGGGTGTGACGTCACCCCCTCAATTGTGTATGGAAGCCATAGTTGAGGCCCAAGTGGTTGCGTAGGTCGCTTGCTTGGTAGTCGGACAATATACCCACTTCCGCAGAAAGCTTCGACGTTCTTGCTGGTGTGATGTTGACGGTAGATTCGAACACCTATCTTGTAAGTTGTGCATTTCCCGCTCATGATTTATGGTTGACGTCGACTTCTGCAGATGCCTGTAATGAGTGGTCTCGAGGTGACTCGTCGCCTCCGCAACTTGGAAACAGCGACTCAGGAGCACACCCCGGTAATTATGCTCACAGCCAGCGCGACACCCTCTCAAGACCGCAGGACGTCCGCAGAGGCGGGGGTCGATTTGTACCTCACGAAGCCCCTGGATGCTCGCTTATTTGCTCAAAGAGTCACCGCACTTCTTCGAAAGACACGAGGCCTCGCCTCCGGCCTAGAATAGCTTGAGACCCCCTGAGTCACGCTCGGAGAACAAGGCGCGGCACGAAAAGCAGAGTAGACGTGTTGAAAGCCGAGCCATCCCTCCACTTGACATATTGTCATATATAGAATATTGCTATATTGTCGGTCTGCTTTGCCTATCCAGGTGACCATTTTTGCGGCAACCCCTGAAATTGGGGGAGATTGGTTGGAACGGTAGGGTGTCGGCTAAAGTTAGTGGCGATGGGACTGTGGTATCTCGAAACTCGGAACAAGCTTGTAATATTAAGTGTAAGTTATCCTGTACGGTAGACAATCTATGGCTTCTATAGGTGGCGCGAAGAGGAGGCAATCAAAACTTGACGTCAAACCGTGACTGAATAGTCCACCAGGCGTTCTGTGGCTTTGAGCGGACACCAACGTTTATGGGGTTTGCGCATCGACTGTAGGAAGAAAGCGGACGCGAAAGGAACTAGGCATCAATAAGTGCAAGAAGCTGAGGAGTGGCACTTATTGAATCTAGACAGAAAGAGCATTCACCAGGCCTTTTGGAGGCTTCGAGAGGACACTAACGTAGTTTAAGAATGTGGCGGGATATCGGAACGTGAAATGATAGAAGCTGATCCCATGCGGTTCCAGTTATGGTGAACAATCGGTTTGGCGGGGACACCTTCAAACCGCGACATGAGTGACTGCAACGGAAGGAACTCGATGCGCTCGTTTCGAGCTTGTTTCCGCTCTAACTCAGACAGAGTGCAGCATGATGGGCATTGGAGAAGCCGCTCACCCGCTCACGCAAATTCTGAAGCTGTCTGAAGTCATCTTTCCCGGGAACGGTGTCATGCATACCGTGTGCTTGCAACTGTTGACTACGTACGTCCTGTTGTAGACTCTGTGATTGAACTCTTCGAAACGCAGTCGACCAGAATCATGCGCACGGGAATGGCACCCATCAAGGTGGTGCATAACTGTTGCTGGAACGGAAGGCAACTCCATATGGCTCGAGAGCGCCAAATGGTCAGATTCTGCGATGCATAAATCTGAGGGCGAGTCCAATGATTTCATGGTCGTATAGAGTATATTGAACAAAGGCTCCCAAGCCATGGAGCCTCCTAAAAGTTATGAAGCTCTCTATGAGCATCTCTCGGCGCATTTGAACCGATTACAAACCTGGTTCACTGGACCTGCATGTTGATGACTATTTGAATGAACGAGCTCCGGCGCTCTTTCGAAACACACCAAATTACTTGGATTTTGTCATAAGAAAGGGTGAAAGAAATATCTCTTCGGTGTGAGAGTGTGAAGTTGACAAGGACGAAAATCTCTTCCGGATGAGTCTAATGTAAGGACTTGTTCGCATGTAGCTGGGGGCGGCCAGGCCGGCCGCGCCGCAGAGTGGTCGGCGGCCGGGGACCGGTCAGTCTATGGGACCGTGACCGTTCAATGTCTAAATGCACAGCCTGTTGCCCGGCCGACCGAACCCCTGCTGCCTCAGGCGCGCCGGCCCGCACGCGCACGCCCGCGGCCATGTGATTGTTTCCGATACTTCGATTAACTGAATATCGACGGCCGACACATTCTTTCCCTCCTCGATCCGTGGCATGCGCGAGCAGGGGTTCGTTGACAAGCCCACCGTATGGTAGTACGGGCCGCATGAAACACTGTGCTCACCATCGGTAGGTTAGTCTAGGTATGAGTTATCAAGGACTCAACATGTCAATATTGGTACCCATGTAGGTATTTGGGACATCACAAGATACCGGGCCGGTTGTCCGATAAGTATCCGGTCACTGGCTGTCAAAAGGATAAAAGGACCGTCAATCAGCCTGACGCGTACTTGCACCAGCCAGACGCACAGGCTGACAGTGATTGCCGCCAGGGCGCGGCCCTGGCAACTTGACGCCCTAGGCCGAGCCGCCGCTGGCTGGGAGAAACCTTTATAACCTTTATAATATAAATGTAAAGAATGCAGACATGATGACGTTGGTCTGACATCCGAAACCCACAGATCGAGCACAGATCAATCAGCTGAAAGCTCCGGCATGGCCGGACTCATCAAACATATGTGACATTCTTGCAGCTTGCTTTTGAATGGCTGCCAGAGGTGGTCGCGCCGCGGTCAGAACCTCAGTTGGCTCCGGTCACTGTGATTGGCTGGCAGAGCCTGAGACACATTGAACTAAGTGGAATGATCCAATCTCCCAAGTTCCCGCACCTGCGGAGCTTGCAAAGTTGAAAGTGCTGTTTTGCACGTGTTAGAGGCCACGTGAGAATCTCGTAACTCCAACTGGCGGCCGCCAACTTTTAGCTATGACCTATGTGGCTCGGTGTCAGAGGAATCTGGGTCTGTGTGGCTTGGTGTCAGAGTTCTTTTGGCACTCTCTGGTTCAGTGTCAGAGTACAGAGAGTAACAACAGTAGCATGACAGATTGGCGCTTCATTTGAAGATGTGTTCATCGGATCAGATCTGGCGTCGCAGTCCTTTACTTCTGCAACGTCTTCCCTTGCAACTTGAGTCTCACTGTTCCCAGGCTGTTCCTCAAAAGTCACCGAGTGTAGACGATCTTACCAGATGATCGGGAGGGAGAGGTGGGAGAAGATAAGCCGGGACAAGAAGGGCATTACAGAGCCTGCTTCCTTGGACCATTCAATTCGAGAGGCAGCACCTGAGGGCCGCTCTGCCATAAGGCAGCGTGATGAACAACTTGAATGGGGGGTTTGGCTCAATTATCAGGTCTTTGATGGCTATCTAGATCGAGAGCAGGTGGTACGAAAAGGGAACTGCTTGTTGCGGCAGGGGATGATAGAGCCGTTTTAGCGAGGCGGATGTGCTGATGGCCCTGAAAGTATGAGATGTAGAATCTGGCTGGCACTGCTGAAGGAGATAGAGCGAAAGACGGCGCTTGAAGGGTCCAGAGCAAGGGACTATGTGAGATTGGCGACTGATTAGGGACTTAGGGCCCTTTCTGTGAGAAATGATGGTAGCTTTGGCAGAGCGCCTCAGAAAGGCGTCCCACTGGCTAACTTCACAGGAGAGAACTGGCAAGCCTCCTGAAGCGGGCTTGAGTGCGCTTACGGCAAGGAAGTCAAGCATAAACTATCCACCGGACTTGGAAGCACAGGAAGTACCGAACTTGGAAGCACAAGAACATGACGTGGCATCACAGGGCCAGGAGAAGAGAAAGTTCCGCAAGAACTATGACATTCTCATCCTTCGACTGTTGATCATGGTGAGGATAAGGACCGACTTGGGTGATGGTCGCTGACAGTTTGGACTAGCTCACTATTCTCATCACGAAGTCCTCTCAAGGATTGAAAACCTTAAGTGCTGGAATGTTCTGATGTCTTGTGAGCTGACCACTTATCTGCAACGTTTGGCTTTGAATCTATCGCTAGAATATTTTTCAGCAGCGCGCCACTTGCATGTTTCTAGGCACACCCATTGTGATCGTTTTTGGGGCCAGTTCTTGGATCCCTGAAAGCAGATGCTGCAGACAGCCTTCTAAACTTGGTTTCATCGCTGTCCAAATAATGCATGACGGCATAAACATAGGCTGGCAAAAATACTGGGATCTGCAGTCGGTGCACAATAGCTGGTTGTAAGAAATTTCAATAAAAAGACATAAGCTCTGCATGCAAATGCAAAGTTGACAAGGTCCAAGCCCTCCTCTAGCATTTCAGCATGTGCATACAGGAATCAAAGTCGTAGACGAGAAGACCAAGGCTACTGGGAGGACCAACTGATTGCTTTCACAGGGCCAACTCAGTGTTATCAGCTAAAGTGCTCTGATCTGTGTTTGTGGAGCGGTGCAGATAGCTTTAGAAGCTACTTGATTGTGACTGGTATCGATGAGTCATGAAGTCCTGTGCTTTCTTGGAGGACCTACAAACTGGAAGTAGAAACGCAAACTCGTGCTTTCGAGAGACAGACTATATTTGTGGCTTCCATTGTGCAGCTTACTGCAGAACCGGAGGCTTCCGTCTATACCGGTCAACACGTTGCCGAACAGACTCTCACAGCTTCCTGTTCCAATAGAAGGGCGAATACGTCATTCTTCAAAACTAATCAGAAGAGTTCCTCCTTTCTGAGTAAACAGTATCTGACTAAGTGCTCTTCTCTTGTGCAGTTCACGCTGGCCTGCCTCCTTTCAGGCAGCACAGCCCTAACATTTTTCCTGAGCAGCGCAACGTGTGGCAATTCTCTCACTCAACTTGTCCAGTCGTATCAGAACGACCTCATAGAACGAACGTCTGATGACGTTTTGAATCTTTTCGGGAGTGGCGACCTCTGCGCACGAGTCTTGGTCGGATCCATGCAGAGGATTCATGCTGCTCGAATAAGCTGGACGAACGACACGCTGGACGATCTGGTACGCTCCTCTTCCTCCGAAGTTGGTGATCATCTGACCAGGTTATGCATAGAAAGGTCTCTGCCCGCCCTTATTTTAAGAGGTTCTCTGAAGTTGGCTGGAGGAGAGGTTTCAACATGGCCTCATAGTGTGTGGTCTGGAAGGTCGAAAAAGAATGTGAGGGTATGCTTCTCCTTGAGTGCTGTTGATCAAGTGATCAGGCATGCTTAGGAGGATCCCCAGCTCTGATTCTAAATGAGGTAGTCAGATTCAAACGGGACACTCCAACAACAGCATCTAGGGACATTCAGAGCAGAATCAAAGGGCTCTCTAAACTTCTGCAGCGTCCGTTGATCACGTCGATTGTTGCAAGCTCCTGCTCACTTTTACCACAGGTACACCGAGCAATCTTCGACACTTTTACCAACTGTGCTCAGACGTCCTCGCTAGGCTTCTTCCAAACGGACGGCACTTACACTACTATCAGTTTAGCAGACAATTCTACGGCAGTTGGCAATACCCCCTCTAGTCGAATCCAGATGAACTTCAACAACGAGACGACGCCAGCAGGTCGACTTCCTCGACGTTATTATACGGTGAGCCTGTTGAACTGGTCAGCATGCTGTGGATGAATTCCGGCTCGAGCTCGCAACCTACTGAATGACTACAGTTGTTCTTGTGAATCTGACACCGCAACTCGATTCTGAGCTTGTGAACGGAAGAGCAGCAGAATGCGCCTTTTGTTTGAAGCTTTTGGGAGTTAGCCCGTGCGCTTGCCAGACCTTATCAGCGTCTGCCAGGCTAATCAGAAGTTGACATGCGGAAGTTTTGGGAGCACCGGCACCAGTGCAGTCGATGCAAAGCTGTGTGCCTCTGTGAATTTGCGCGCAGTAGAACTACATACTGTATAGAAAGAAACGTCTGACCTGACTTTGTGGTCAGCGTCAAAGTCGCAAATCCCGCAAACGGACATGCACTTCTCTTCCAGCAACTCACCACGTCGGAATCGAAGACATTCGATCAACAAATGGCTACCAAAGTTTACTCACAACCGAAGCCATTCCGAACAAGCAAAGAGGGACTCTCTTCACTCCGCGATCAACCGTCACCGTAGAAACAGAGCACGTTTTTCTTTCCTTTGTGCGACAGTATTTGGCAGAAAACACCGGCGAACCTCTTAGCCCGCCCCACGAGATCGCCAGGCTCGATCCCCGCACCCGGGAATGGTACGTCCAGGCACTGAGCAACGCAGACGGGCTGGCCGCTCAAGTGCTGGTCGGCGCAAGCGGACGGTCCCAGTTGGCCCTCGGGCGGCGCGTCAAGCACCCCACAAACGGCGAAGTCCTCGGCGTGATCGGGCTTTCATTCTACCTGACGACGATCAGCCGATACATGAGCGAGTTCGACCTCAAGGGGGGGCTCATGTACGTCACGAATGGGACCATGCTAGTTGCTGACACGGTGGCAGACTACCCGGCCGCCACGAACGTCTCGACGGGGTCCCTTTTACCAGCCAGCGAGTCGGCCAGTCCAGTCGTCAGAGATTCTTATGCGTACTTGCAGAGCGTGGGGCATGGCAACGTGTCCGACGCGAGCACTTTCCGCAAGGTGCGCTTGGGCGGACGTCCGTATTTCCTGCAGTACAAGTATCTGCAGTTCCGCAACATCGTTCTCCGGCAAGTCATGGTGCTGCCGCGTGAGTCCGTCATGGGGTCCATTGACAGCGGCGCGCGATACACTAAAGCGATCGTCGGTGGAGTCACGGCGGCGATCTTTGCGCTAGGATCCCTGCTAATTGTGCTGTTCACGGATCCGGTCAGCAAGGAGATGCGGCTCAAGGCGCAGGTGATTGAGAATCTGGAGGGGAGGAGGCAGGCGGAGGCGCGAGAGGAATTCAAGACGAAATTTCTGGCGAGGACCAGGTGAAGAATCTCAAGACAAAAAAAGATTCCTATTGTCAAGCATAGTATGGCTGTCAGCTTGATACGTTGCTTTGATCAATACCCAACGGCTGTCAGTACGGAATCTCAGTAAGTCTTCTAACAATTACCAGGCCGATCAAACTGGTATCCTGCTGTACTTTCTCTCTGTACTTGCTTCAACGATGGTCGGGGCCTTCGACCAGTTCTCTCTGCATACAATCGAGCAATCTCAATCCAATTCAAGAATCCAATCTCTGAGCGAAAGAGTGCGAAAGACCTGACCGTGTTTCTTGCTGTTCATACCTGTGACTTTGATGTACAGCTGGCGTTCTCGGAATCCCGTCTTGATCTTTTTATGCAACGTGCAGCCACGACCTGCGGACCCCCTCTGCGGCCATGCTGGGGCTGCTTGACATGATCCTAGAGTCCTCGCTGGAGACCGAGCAAGCCGATAGAGTGAAGCAAGTCAAAGAGTGCGCGCTCACGCAGCTGAACCTGCTGAACGACATCCTGGACTTCAGCAAGGTCAGCCACAACTTCCTGCGTAATCCTAGAAACATCGTCAGTAAGCCTAAAAGCTGAGGCTTGTCTTTTTGTTTTCGATCTTCCACATGCGCCAGCGCTCAGTTAGCCTTCTCTTCTTGAACCTGGCATAGCTGCTGGTCTGTGTTGCGGCAGTTAACAGTGTGCACAGCAGCATAACGCTCCACTCGAGCATCACTGGGACATGGGAACGTAATTCGCCGAACTGGAGCCTATTAGAACCTTTGAGAGCACTTTCCAAGAATTTCTTACTGGCTTTGAGATTCCTCGGAAGGCATTCATGCAGAACGTTTGAACCGAAGGACAGACATTCACAATTCATGAAAGTTTTGTCTACATGTAGTATATACATACAGGCTATTATCTTCCTCGTTGAGGTACATAAAAGCACACGGTGCCCTTGCTAATCAATAAGAGCACACTTCAGACACGCAAAAAGCATCTTTTTGCAATCGGTGTCCCGCTGTGCAGATCGAAGCAGGGAAGATGCAGCTCGATAACGAGGTCTTCGACATAGGCAACATGCTGGAGTCTTTGACGGACATTTTCAGCGTACAGTGCACAGCCAAGGGCCTTGAAGTCGGATTGGACATGGACAGTGAGCAACTACTCTTTTCAAGGATCAACGTGCTCCCTCTTGCTCAATGGTTTTCACCAGCGCTCTTCATGCCTCCTCTACTGACGACAGTTTTACTTGCAGAGGCGCAATCATGCTTTGAAAGATGCCACAAAACAGAAGCCGTCAACAATCCGTCATATGTAATGCTTTATGTGCTGAACGATAAATGACATTGAACTCAGTCAGATCAGTTTAGGCAGTCTGGTTCCGATTCCCCTACTCAACAAGCTTCCTGAAAAGGTCCGCTGCCATCGGATTTTTTTGCTCTACTCTGGCCGACTGCAGCGCACAGCGACCTGATCTCCTGTACACTTCTTGTCCGCCTGTTTGCGTAGACTTGAGACCCCGAAAAAATCTCGGAAGAAACGATCAAGGCCCTGAGACACGGCAGAGGGAGAAGATCGTCAGACCTGCAGCTATTTCGTGCAGATGCGGTCCCTAGGATGGTGAGAGGCGACCCAACGCGGTGCAGGCAAATCTTCACGAACCTGCTTAGCAACAGCATCAAGTTTACCAAGGTAAGAAACCAATTCTGTGCGCAACCAAGTGTCGAGCTTGGAAGTGGCTTACAGAGCCTGATAGAGGGCCTTCACCGTCTTAAGTGGGGTTCGAGCAGGTTTTCAGAGCGCTTCTTGTCCTGCGGGCCAAAATAATAATGATCTTCGATCTCCCGCCTTTCCTTTTGCTTTTAGAGTCTCTTACAGAACGGATGCGGCAGCTGCTGGCTGTGATCTTAACTGTAAGCAGATGGTCATCATTGGCGCGACGCTCACTTTTGCGTTGTCGACCACCCTGTTGCAGGAAGGCTACGTTCTTCTGCGCTGCTACCCGCTGCCTGTCGAAGACTTCCAGGGGAGCCCCGACTTTCCCGATGTGCTTGCCAACAACCTCAATCAAAGCCCCACGGTCCGTCTCGCCTTTGAGATTGAAGACACTGGATGCGGCATCCCCCCGGAAAAGCGCGACCTCGTTTTTCAAGATTACTGCCAGGCCGACGTATCCACCACGCGCAACCACGGCGGCACGGGCCTCGGCCTGGGGATCGTCAAAACTCTGGTTGACATGATGGGGGGTCAGATTGCCATCGTCGACAAAACAGGGCCCGGGACGCTCTTCCGGTTCCACCTCGAATTCAAGAGGGACGACCCCACCACGCCCGCCCCGGTCACGTCCTCCCTCGTCCGCCAATCGCGCCCCTCGTTCTCACTCGGCGGGCCGCCGCCGGAGCCGCGCGCGTTCGCGCGCTTCCGCGTGGTGCTCGGGAGCGGCCGCGGCCTGTCGCGGTCGCTCGCCGCGGCCGCGCTGCGCCGGCAGGGCGCGGCCGTGGTCGAGGCGGCGTCCTGGGGCGAAGTCCTCGACGAGCTGCGTTCCTCAGCGGAGCGGTCGGGAGGACACCCCGGAACGCATTTTGGTGGGGAGTCGCCGGAGTGGGCGGGGGGCGCGGGCCACCACGGACCGCCCCTATACTGCGCGCTTCTCGCGCTGTCATTACTGCCCAAGGAGCTGAGCGTCGAACAACTCGAGGCGGCCGCGATGCAAGTGCGCGAGGCGTTGGGAGAAGCAGGTAAGAGCAGGCTTACGGCGTTGGAACAGGGAACAGAAAAGTTCCTGAAGATAAGGGAATGTTAATCTGGATCGAACAGTACCTGGTACGGAATGAAGACGAGTCACCAGTTTCTGTTTAGTCTCGTCATTGGCTGATCAGACTTCGCAAGCAGGGTCAGCCGCATCTCGTCCTCCGTCCGTATAAGTAATCAAGCTCCACAATCCATAGAGGTGTCAGCGCCCGTTTGCCAGTTTGCAAGTTTAAGATGCTCTGCTACTATCAAGTCAGGCAGCCCCGTCGAAGCTGTCCGACGAGTCCGTTCTGATATCGAAAGCGACCCTATATTCTAGATTTCTTTTTTCCTGCCAATCTGGATTCGCTCGATTCAATCTGGTCGAGTAGGGCGCGCCTCGGGTCAGCAGTTTGAGCCCTTCGGCAGTGGGAATTGACTCGGTTCAAATCGGAAAACTCTTCGAGCTGTTTCGTGATTTCTCCTGCAAGACCAATTAGCAACGGTCCCCGAGCTCGATATGCGGCAGTTTCTGGTAAGAGGAAGCGCGTTCGTATCTATTAAACAGATTGAATCGAGTTATGAGCATACTAATTAGTCGAGAAAAATCTGCCGTAGAATACACAAAGAGAGTCTGCTTGTCTCCGACTGACCAGACTGACTCTAACTGACCTCACTTCGGACTCGTACTCAAAGCTAAGTCAATGGGGCTGTACGCGGCCTGGTCACTTCTCGCTTTGTAAGTAGCCCGGTTTCTCCTCACTGTTTCCGTTCCTCTCCTTGACCTTACTTGTTTGTCCTTTGGCGCAGGACCGCATGCCGTGGCGGTGGCGTGGGTCGTCCCGACCACCACGCCGGCCGTGCTGCGGGCCGCGCTCAAGCGCGCGGGCTTCCCAATCATCGTCAACAAACCGCTGTACGAGTCAAAGCTACACCGGCTGCTGCACACCCTGGCCGGGACGCACGACGAGGACCTCCCCTGCGGCTGCAAGGACTGCCCGGTCTGGGCAACCGAGGCGAAAGGCAAGGCCCCGTTCGCCCGGGCAAACGCCCGGTTGTCCGAGCCGCTGACCTACCGGTCGGGAGATTGGGACGGGGGAGGTCTGGTGCGGACGCAGAGCGCGCCTATGGACATGCGAGCGGAGCTGGAGGAGATCCGCGTGGTGAACGATGACTGCATTGTGGTCGTAGAGGCGGAGACGGGCGACCAGCCGCTCAGGGGGATGGTCGTTCTGGTCGCCGAGGACAACCCGGTCCTGCAGCTGGTCGCGGCGAAAACGGTGAAGAAGCTTGGAGCGCAGGTTGTGACGGCGAACGACGGCGGCGAAGCGATGGACGCGATTGTGCGCCGGCGGGAATCGACGAGCCAGATGTTTGACTTCATCCTGCTCGACTGCCAGGTAAAAATCGTCCGTCCCTGCTTTAGGGGCCAATTTTCACGAGTATCACATTCCGGAATCATCGAGATTCTCCGTATCTCTTGTGCCCTTGTGTCGGCTCGTTTGATGCGAAGATGGTAAACCAAATGTTTGATCATAAGAGTCGACGAAACTACTGTTCTTCTCTTCATATCCTTCTGAGCATAAGAGTCGCAGACAAAGCACTGCACGTATGTGGTAGGAAAGGCTGCACGGCAGCCCCCCCTGAGCACGCCCTTCTCTTGCTTAGTTCTCAGACACGTTGTCCCCTCTCACAGGCAAAAGTACTTTGCTTTAATCAGACTACGGAAAATATTATTGGATCAATACTTCTGGTCTGCAAGCAGGGCAGGCCCTTGACCAGCCCCTAACCAGGTAGCACTTTGCTGTGGTTCTCCAGATGCCCGTAATGAGCGGTCTCGAGGTGACCCGCCGCCTCCGCAAACTAGAGAGGGCCACCAGGGAGCACACCTTGGTGATCATGCTCACAGCCAGCGCCACACCCGCCGCGGACCGCAGGGCGTCCAAAGAAGCGGGGGTGGATTTGTACCTTACGAAGCCCTTGGATGCACGCTCGTTTGCCAAGAGCGTTACCGCGCTCCTTCAGGCCGAAAAATAGAGATACAATACCGGGCTTGTACATGGCACTCATTAAGTCAGTTTAGAGGTAGAAAAAGGGGCGGCACGAAAAGCAGAGTAGACGCGTTGAAAGCCGTGCCCAAGCATCCCTCCAGCTGACTGTAGCTACTAACCGTCAATATCAATATACTATTACTGGACAAGGTTAATATAAACCTAGGTGACACTCTTGCGGCAACTCCTTCAGATTGGAGGAAGGTTGTTCGTTGTGTTAGGATCATTCTTCTCTGAGCAGGGATCACTGGAGACCAGCTTGTCAAACAGTAGTAGCCTGACTTGGATCTGCATCATTGAGTGTACGTTATTGCGCGGACAACGAAGGACTTAGGCAACTATAGGTGCATTGAATAGAAAGTAAACATTTTAAAGTCAAATGGAAAGCTCTTGTATGGCCTTCAGCGTGACCTGTGTGGTCTGCTCACGAAGTAACGCATTGTTACATTATCAATTCACCTAAGCTGGATTCCAGATTGAAGTAGATGACAAAAGTTCCAGGAGGTACGAAACATGTACAGGCCGTTCATTTCCTCACAGGCGCTTTGCTGTTGATTTGAAGTGGGCTGGCATCAGTGAGCTGGGACAGATTATAGAGAACGCTACTTCAAAGACTCGGCCAACTTGCAGCCATTGCAGTTCGTAGTGACTTCTTTTATTCTTTCAAGTGCATTGTCTAACAACCACGAGGGTGCTGAAGATTGTGCAATTCGAAGCGAAGCAGTGATTGTAGAAGATATCTAGATCACGGTTGCGGGAAGCTAAACCTGTCGCTCGATCGGGACTCTCTGGTGGAGCTGTATGGCAACCTTCAGGTTTGTTGATGAGATATATACACTACAATCGATTGAAGGTCTAGATATGAAAGAGCAATGAAAGCCCTCTTAACTTAGTACAAGTCGGACATGAAATTATACCCGGGCACCCCTGCATGGAGCCCGGGCGGCGTCGGCCTCACGCCCTACGTCTTGAACCCCTATCGGTCGATGTCCGGCTGCCGCCCCGGTCACTGCGCAGTCGGTCGGCGCAGGCGGCCGCGCAGCCCCTTGGCAAGTTGGTTAATCACTTCAGCCGGTACCGTACCGGGGCGTCCAGCGGACGGTGATGGTACACTCTGTGCGATCATCACGAATTGAAGCCGTCCGATAAGAGCTTATGCGTCAGCAGGATTGCAGTCCAAATTTAAAGGTTGAGGTATTCGAAGCAGTCTAAGACTTGTTCTTGTCACTGGCGCCCTGCGCGGCGACAACAGGTAGCCGCGCTCCCTGTTCTATGGTTCTATAGGCGACTTGAAACAAGAAGACATTGAGCTGGTGGCCACGGGGCCAAAGATGCCAGGCTCGTTACATCAGGCTCTGGTGGTACTGTCCTACCAGCTAGGTAGGCAGGTATTAATTAGCTAGAAGAGGTAATCTGATCTCAACCTGTTGCTCAGTCTCTGCGGATGCCCAGCTCTTGCAGTTTCACGAAAATGGTGTCATACCGACAGCCTGATGTCACAGCCTCCGATCCTTCAGAAACAGCTGCAACGGCATAACGGGCCTGGCCTGACACTGGCAGCCATTTCAGGCATTGGCTGCCGGGTCAAGAGGAGTCACTGATATCATGACCGTTTCTTCTAGTGTAATCCCTGGACTAGAGCTGCACTAGTGGCGCCATCGTCCGGCACAATGTAGTGGAATTTGTCACCTGAGAATTGACTCAAGCTTCCACGTTGTTACCAGAGTGCTCAACTCTGCATTCAGCTCTCCTGATAGCGAGTAGTATCTGAAAGCTTCTGAAAAAGCTCTTCTTCGCCCAGCGGTCCCCTGCCTAGCTCTCTTCAGCGCTCGCAAGCTCACAATGCTCTGCTGAGCTGTACTGCCGCTTTTGCGGCTAGACCTAACTCAGGCGCAGCTATGAAGGACCCCTTATCTGGGTTTTGGCTGCGGCCAGTCCAATCACAGCGCAGCAGACTCTTCTTCTGGATCCTTGTGATCCTAGGTCCTGCCGCATTAATTGGTCACTTTTTGGCAGAACCGTCGCCGGTCCAACACCTGTCCAGACTGGTAAACTTACCTCTTAACCCCTTGTTTGACCAGCTAAACCAGCAGCTAGTGAGGGCTGAGGAGCTAGTAGACCTGTCCAACAATCACGCATCCGAAGGTTTCTCCAGGGACTCGTCCAGAACCGCTAGAGGAAGCAGTCGTCACAAAGTTCGTACCGGAAGAGTGGCGGGAATCTTTCCGTTCACACGAGAGGACACGACGGGGACGTTGCATCCAACTGCACTTTCTCTTCTGGGAGTTGATGACGTCATAGGGACACACAAACAGTCTGCGATAGAGACGGGGAATTATGGGGTCAAAGAAAAGCTTGCCAGGTTTTGGAACGCCTCGCGCAGCGGTCGGGTTTGGGAGCGGTGTCCTGAACAGGTGGCTGGAGCAATCCGTGAGTGCATCAGCCTCCCCTTCACTTCAGGGTGTTGTTAGGTTGATACTAGGTGCCACTTGAGTGTGCTTTTGACGAGAGAGTAGAGTCACCGCTTATTTAGGAAGTGGAGCACCAGCTCCGAGGTGCAGTTTCTCAGCCGAAACGAGTTCCCAGCCCAATGTGCGGAGTACCTGTGATGTCAGCAATCATGTCGACATCCGTTTGGTTGCAAGAGGCGTGCTGGTCCGTGCCGCCAGTCCTCCACCAAAAGAAACTGGAAGCGTGTCACAATCGAGCATGCCTCTCAAGGTTGGTCTTCGCATTTAAGGCGGTGCTCCAAAAGTTGAACAGAGTCTTCAACTTGGATTGGCTCCTCTATGCCCTGCTGCACACTGGGGAGATGGTGTTGCAGTGCAATGAAGGCGTTCTTGCTGTGCACCATGCAGGGCGGTCCCCTGGAGATGCGGGGTTTTTGAAGGTCGAATGCAATGGGGGTCTGAATCAGAAACGGGCAGCGGTGAGTGCTGCTCTCATTTCTGCAAAGCTAAAGAGAGTCTCCAAAACAACGCGAAAGAAGACGAAACAATACTTACACAACGTCGCAGACTGCAAATGGAACAGTCAATGTCTTTATTTGCTTCCAGGATCTTAATGCCTTTGATTTGGCGGTACAGGATCCTAAATTTCGAGGTACGTTTTGCAGATTGCTGATGCTGTTGCGGTTGCGTGGCTAATGAACCGGACCCTGGTGGTACCGGTTCTCGAGACTGATCAGTACTGGGGGGACGAAAGGTACGCCTCGAAACTTCTTAGGAAAGTAGTACTATTCCCGAGCTTTGTTTCTGCATCCACAGTGTGGGAGATGCTTCCCGTTACCCTTGCGTGTAGTCTTACCAAAATGCTAGACCAGGATCTAGGCTCTGCAAGTGATTTGTCTCTTGTCAAACCGTTGTCTCTTGTAAAACCGCTCCACTTCAGACGAAGTCAAGACTTGAAAAAAAGCAGAATGCAGAGTAAATCAGACGAATTCGAGATATCGACAACCTGTAAGGGCCAGGAATGTCACCATTCAATTCCGCTGAGGTGCAATCCATGCGACCCTCAATCCAGCCTTTTGCTCGTCTTGTCTGCAGTGGCTTCAATTCCATCTTCAACGAGACCCACTTCATCGAACGTCTCTCAAGCATCGTACCCATCGTACGGGAAGCGGAGCTGCCCGCCAATCTAACCACGTTCAGAAGGCTGGCAAAGACCCGGGGTGACGTGGCGTTCTATCATTGGCTGGCCGGTAGATCCAAGAACGTGGGCCTGCTCGTATTGGAGAAATTCTCCCACAAGCTGAGCTACCGGGATGAGCACGTGTCGCGAGAAGTACAGGTGAGATTTAGCGGCTGCGATCTGGACACGTGTCACAACACACGCTGGGACGATGCTTTGCAACTGGCGTTTACGTGAGACGGTTACTAATGGGGCCACCTGACATAAGCAGGGGTCGGGATGTGCGCGTTAACGATATCAACGGTTGTGATGTTGACACGGGCTAGGACGGTTGCAGGTTGAGTCAATCCACTTTTATCCGGAGTCTATTCGGCAACGGGTTCAGGGAATTTATCCCTTGGTTAAGGAGGCAGTGCAGGCGCTTATAAGCGAAGCCGGAGGCGCTGAGCTTGGGTTACTTCAAAAACGAGGTCACTGGGCGCCGAGAACTCTCCACTTCGTGTTTGACGAATGCTCGATAATCCTGTTACTTGGTGACAAGTTTTCAAAAGCACCTTTTCGATCTTTAAACCTGTAGGGAATTCCGATGCTTCAAAGATCTGGAGCGCTTGAGGTTCATTGGTGGCGCCAATTGGCGGAACAATCTTGGACTTCTGTGCATTCCTTAATCCCGGCGCTTCGTAGTTGTGGACGCGCTCCGCTTTTCCGACAGCGACGGGGGCCAAGCTCGTGCCGCAAGAAGATTGCATACATCGAGCTGATGGTCTCAACAAATAGGTTTCGAAGGCGCCTTTCACTGAGAAGGCCACTCACCTTGCAGGGAATACAGGGCCTTTCGAGCTTGAAATGCGCGAGAGTTCACCGAGTGGATTGAATGACGGAGGTCGTAATCGTGGCTAATGACATTGACGAAGTACTGGGTACAAGTAACAAACGCGGAGGTACTTTTACAGAGAAACAAAAAATCCCCTCTTCTCGCAGAAGATACGATGCTTCACAAACCTCGAAGCGCTGAAGTTCACCGACTCGATCGAGGCCACGGGGCGCAAGATCAAGCGCAAATGTATTGGCAAGGCTCAAGATGCTTGAGTCAAGTACAAACGCGAAGCCGGCTCTTACAGAGTACTGTAAATATCCTTCTTGCAGAAGATACGCTGCTTCGCGAACCTCGAAGCGCTGAGGTTCACCGACTCGATCGAGGCCACGGGGCGCAAGATCGTGCAAAAGCCGATTGCTGGCCTAAAACTAATCGCTTAAAGGAATGAAAGTTAAAGCACCTCTTTCTGAGCAACAATTCTATCTGTTTTTGCAGAGGATACGATGCTTCGCGAACCTGGAAGCGCTGAAATTTACTGATTCGATCGAGGCCACGGGGCGCAAGATCGTGCGCAAGCTGCGCAGCGCGCGCGGGTCGTACGTCGCTGTGCACCTGCGCTTCGAGCAGGATATGCTCGCGCACGCCAAGTGCGACTTCGAGGGGACGCGCGCGGAGAGGCGCGAGCTGGAGGAAATGCGCGAGGTGAGGTCTCGCGCTCTAGTTCTGTGAGTATAACGATTGTTGTGTTAAGCTTGGACAAAGGGTGGTGCTTTTGGAGAACGTCGGAGTGGCGTCCAAGAAAGATGTTTAAGGAAAATGTCACTCTAAACTTGAAAAGGAGGAGAGGCGAGAGGTGAAAGAAGGGGAACGATGCTATAAGGCGATCAGTCGATTGAAGAAGGAGGTAAGTATATCCTGCTTGTCAATTAACCTGGCAAGTTGCTGTCTTTCCGCCGTAAGAGTTTCTTGCAGTCGATTCCTGGAAGAAGGAAGGCGGAAACGAATCGGTCAGGAAGCTCGGCTTGTTGATGTTTGTGAGTCCGAGACCTTCAAACAACTCCCATGTGCGTTTTGTTTCGATCATCGAGTATACAATGCCTTACCACCAACCGGAGCATCCCTCGAGAATTGTCGTTCCCTTCTGTGTATCCACAGGAGTTCTGGCCGTACCGCAATCACCGCGACAACGACACCATCGAGGGGAACCGGGGGGCGGGTCGGTGCCCCCTCAGCCCGGAAGAGGTCGGCCGGTTGCTGAACCTTTTAGGCTTCCCCCGGAGCACGACTGTGTACGTTGCGAGCGGCCCGGTTTACAAACCCGAGAAAAGTATGCCCGGTTTGACGAAGTTTTTCCCGAACCTGGTTCGGTTAACCAACTCCCAGAAACCGGGGACGTCGTCATTAAACATAACGAGTCTGCTGGAGTACGAGGAGCGGAAACGGTTCGGCTCGCACGCGGACCAGCTCGCCGCCCTAGATTATCTCGTGTGCGCGCACGCTGACGTGTTCATGCCGTCATTCACCGGCAACATGGATTTCCTGCTCGAGGGGGAGCGGCGGTATGCAGGTTTCCGAACAACCATCATACCAAACCGGCCGCGGTTGGCGGGTATCTTGGCAGAAACCGGGTTGAGTTTCGGGGAGGCGCAGAAACGGGTTTACGAGGTTCATCCCCCGGTTCAAAGGTTTGGGTTTGAGCCCCGGTTAGGGTCGGAGCTAGGGGCCGTCCTCAGGCACCGGCACTCCGTGTTCTCCCACCCGCTACCGGAGTGTCTTTGCGTCAAGGGAAAATTGCTCCCAGACGAAGCGTATGCTGCTGCACTGGCCGAGTTCTGATTGCTCACACGGTTAATGTATCATCAGCATGCTAATACAGGCCTATTTATAGACAAGGCGTTTGGTGTTACTGCAACTTAACGAACTGGTTGTCGTCGAAAGGCAGGGTACATTCGCGCCCCATGGCGCTGTACATTAGAACATTAGACATGCCGTTCAGAATAATCTTATAAGACTCTCATTAAAGCTTCAAAACTGGCTGCAAGCGAAGCCCATATTTCGCAACGACCGTCGCTTTGAGACTTTGAGACAGCTCTGCGGAGGCAATATTGTCTTGAGTCTGCACAGTTGAGTGATCTTGAAGCACGTTAACAGACCGCACAAGTGGACAGACTCGCTCATGAAAATGCCGATTTAATTGCGATTTGACCTAAATGTCGAGCTCGCTTAGAAACGTTAGTAAGCCAATTGACCACTTGCCCTCGTTGAAGTTTTCATGACAAACACGGTGTCCGGCACGACTAGAAGTGAAACATCGTTGACGTCAATTTCACACTGTGTGCATGACAGATCTGCAAGTTCAATCATTGCATGTATCATCATTAACATCTTCCGTGAGCCCGCCCATATGCAGTGACGTGAGCTTTACTAAGTCCTGTACACGTTTGTCCGACTGGTCAGGGCGTGTAAGAATTTACGTCGACGGCGGTCATGCTTCATTGGATAGAATCCTCAATCGTGATTCTGGCCACACGGCCGCCCATGCAGTACATATAAAGTATGTGAGTCTCGTTTTGAAACATTGCAATCAGTGATAAGGCGTGCATCCCCCGTGCATCGCGAGCGTTTTACATCGATGATCACATTAAGTGTTTTCTGTCATGTGATACTTTTGGCATACTTTTTGCAGGCGGCCGGTCCTAACCCGGTATTTACTCATCATGCCGGCCTCTATTCGAGCTTCACAGACATAAAACCGTTGTGACACAACCTAAGTAGTTCAATGTTCCGGCCTCGCCCTTTTATGAATGAAGTTGCGCTAGCTAGTAGGCTATATCCAGACATGTATTGTCCGGATTGACGTGCCACATATGATGTGCACAGACGGTCGACGACGGAATTCGGGAATAGCATGCATCAAGCTACTAACACATGGATAGAGAAGGCTATATGATGATTTGCAATTCGCCTTGATGCATGGATTCACACACGGACGGTCCCTACAGCAACCGTCTCTTTAGGGGTCAATGCCTGGCAACTTTTCAATACAACCGTCAGATTGAACATGTTTTGGTAGTTGAGGACTCGCTAGGTTCAGAACACTAAAGTGACGATCGTATCTTCGGCCGTCAGCGGGGCTATCAAGGGATCGAGATCGAGGTAGAGGCAAGCTTATTCGTAGTTGTATAAACTGTGTGAACATAACACTCCTGTACGCCAAATGTGAGTTGACTCGTCGATTTGTCACCCAGCCGTGGCGGAGTGAGTTTCCATCATGGATGACATGGAGATGTGCTTGCCAGAAGCTAGCTATACTCGAGATTAATTCTTAATCATCGACCATGAAGCAACCTGCAAAATGGGTGCGCTGATTTGCACTACAGATTCTCGAAAATAGTCACTTGTTTAAATGTAGCTCTACAGTCGTGGATGTCAACTTCTAGCAAACGATATGAATTTTAAAAAGCCTTTCAGCACCAATCAGGAAAAGACATACTTCCAAAAACCTTTGCTCAATCACATGCAAATAAGGTTGAGGTCCCCTTCCAACGGCATGTGAAGTATTAGTGGCAATGATTAGAAGCAGAACTTCTACTTCAATGTGAAAGCATGCGGGTCAGAAGGCAGACGCAGATAAATAAGAGATCTTACAGCAACCGTGGAGCATAGAATGTTGCAAGCCGTGACTGCTGCTAGACTCCTAGTTCAGCTAGTGCCACCGTTTCGTCATTGAAGTCAACAGAATTGATTGACCAAAGCGGATTGAAGTACTCTCTTTTCAATGCGACACGAGCTTTGACAACATTCTCCACCTCTTTTGGCAAACGACACAACTCCGATTTCCAAGGCGCCAGCTGTTCCGTCCCTCAATGATGCAGTATCATCGTCAAACTTTGAACTTCTTCTTCAAGAAAGGGCCCAAGGGCCTTCTACAGGTCCTTCCACTGCTCATGCAATTGCTTCCTTTGAGATCTTTTACTGCAGAATCCAAGAAGGATAACATCAACCCCACCTGTTTCTACTCAACTTTGACACTTGTTGGTCTAGTCAACCTTGCGACCCGTGCGTCCTCCTGTTCCTGCATGACATCAGCGTGTGACCGATGCTGACCTGCAAAGCGGTGGTGCGGTGTCACACTCGAATGTCTCGGTGGCACAGCCTGACTATGCTGTATAACAGATATCATCATAGGCGATCAGGAGGGTCATCCCTGGCGTTCTTGGATGCAGACATTTACAACCACCACTGACCAGACTTTCCAAGCTCAAAAGAATGGTCAGAACATTGGGACACGGCACGACGAGATATGATTGAAGTAAAAGCTTCGAATACAACTTAGAAACAGGATCAAATCTCATCACAAGTGCTGCAGCACAGGGCATGAAAACAGAGACAGACTGAAGATGCCAATGTCAAAAGAACTACTTGCCTGGCTTTTGGAGAGCAAAGGGCAGAGCACAAATCAGTCCAATGGCGAAGACCCCGGCGGCAACATGCAGCTTCTGACCACTAAACATGTACCTCTGCCACTTGCTGAGAGGAGCATTACTGGACATCCTCTCTGCCATCAGCCGGAAAAAATGTTCTAGAACGCCGCCACACTCCCAGCGGTTCTCATTGAAGCTACGCCACTGACCTTCAACAAGCAGTCCTGCAGCCTCCTGCTACGAAGCTTAGATACTGTGGCTGTGAAAGAACAAGAAACTGAAAAAAGAATCGGAGGGGCAGCTTCACCAAGCAAAGATCTATTAGTAACAGTATTAGCTGCCGCTCTGACGTGGTGCAAACTCCGGGCTAGTTTTGTGGTGGTGAAGATTGTGCACAGCAGCTCGACCAACTGGCGCAACGACCAGGGGTTTCATCGCAGTGGATGCCGTGTTAAAACTTAAAGTGCCAGTTATCAGCTAACTCACCATATAAAAGCCCCCGGTCGGCCGTAGGTATCGCTGAGCTCGTCGCGGCGCCTGCATGTAGACTTCTTTCCAGCTAGGTTTAATTAGTCCCTAACTATGCAAATGTGGTTGCCTCCTAACCCTAGGGTTACTATGTATCGAAGGAAAATTGTGAATCTGATCATGCAGGGACGAATTGGACTTCCTGCTTGATTGCATGTTGGGCGAGCATTTGCAGTTGTAGCCGGTGGCTTCTTGCCCAGGGCACTCGTGAGGCGCCCCTGATCAGAATTGGAAACCTACTCATAGGGAGTTCCCGGTTGCTTTCGCTCTTGCAAAGATGAACAGCGAGAAGAAGGGCGAGCTGTCTGAGCTGAAGGCCAGCCTGCGGCAATTCGCCGGCAGTAGGGCTCCCGGATCAACGGAAGCGAAACGGGAGCTGTTCAAGAAAGTGATTTCATATATGACAATAGGCATAGATGTGTCTGGTCTCTTCACAGAGATGATCATGGGGAGCGGAGCTACGTCCGACCTGGTCCTCAAGAAGATGTGCTACTTGTACTTATGTAGCTATGCCGCGTCGAACTCGGAGCTGGCGCTGCTGACCATCAACTTTCTGCAGAAGGATTGTCAGGTAAAATTCCCAACTTTGAGCTCATGAATGAAAGGACTTATTGTTTTGAACATGCTTTTCAGAATTCCTAAAAGTTGCATTCATTTCATGGCTGAAAGTCAGCTGATAGATCTTTGATTGAAATCTGTTGATCCGGGCTCCGTGTGGCAGAGGAGCTGACAATCTGACATACAATTCACGTACACTGTTGTTCTCTTCAGTCTTGCGGCCTGCACTCTGCTGCTTTTTGACCCCTGTTCACTGCAATTGTCCTGTCCACAAAGTTCCGGGCAGAGTCTGCCCAAGCGTCAGAATACCACCAAGTCGCTGCAAGGGCGCTCTTGTGTTCAGGCACATATTCCCCGCCTAGCAAGGGTCTCAGCTATCCCCGCCCCTACTGCAGGACGAAGATCCTATGATTCGGGGTCTCGCCCTGCGGAGCCTGTGCTCGCTGCGTGTCAAAAACCTGGTGGAATATCTACTGGGCCCCCTGAAGACCGCCATCCGAGACAGCAACCCGTACGTGCGGACTATGGCCGCAATGGGAATCCTGAAGCTGTACTACCTCGCCCCAGCCTCGTGCAACGAGGGAGAGTTCGTGCCGGCGTTGAAGCGGCTGCTCATGAACGACCCTGACCCCCAGGTGAGGTTGAACAGACATTCGCAAATCTGTCTCAATGTGCCGCCCCTGCACTAGGTGAAAGCAGTCTGCGCCCCCCTTGCAGTGGAAAGACAGCTGTGTTGGTGACTTCTTTGAAGGATCTTGTGAACGCTTCCGTCCGGAGCTGAGTCATTGGCGCCTCACATGGGTTTTGCGGCTTATTCTGTCTGAGACCCCAAAAGCAGTCTGCCATGGCTGCGGGGATTGCAGACCCACTGTTACATGTTTCTACTATATTCGGTCCTTATCTATTCCTATCCCTATCTATTCTATCCCACTCTTGCTCAAACGCAAGTCCGAACCTGCATTCTATGGATGAACGCAGGTTCTTCATCCGTAGAGGTTCTCATAAAATGTTGTCTCGCGAGACAACGTTGCCGTGTAGCAAAGAAACGAGTATCAAATCGTGTCTGCCTTCCTGGCTCAGGTTGTCGCGAATGCAGTCTGCGCGCTCCAAGAAATCTTTGACAAGGAGGCGGAGAGTGGCTCAGGTCCCAACGTGAATGGGAAGGATTGGCTGCTGAGCAAGGAAGTGATCTACACGCTCCTCAACCGGATCCGCGACTTCAGCGAGTGGGCGCAGTGCATCATCCTCGCACTGGCCGCCGAGTATGTGCCACAGGAACCAGTAAGAGCCTCCCTCTTTCCAGCTCAAACCGCACTGCTTTTCTCACACGGAGTTCATTCCTCTTGGTAGGCAAGAGTGCGTTTCAGACTTGATACAGAGAACGGTGTATTTGCAAGGATTGTTTCGCAGGACTCTTTTTGACGGTCATGAGATGTTCTTGATGATCCAACGCAACAAGCGGCCAGGGCGGGTGGTGGATTTTGACGGCTTCTCAACTGAAGTCTGTAATGTCAAGAGGTAATATAGAGATTGTCGGTTCTGCGACACCGCCAGGCTCGTATCCATTCTTTCTGAAGGCACCTTTGGGTACCTAGGATTTGTCATGTCCAGTGCTTTCCAACAAGCCCCATTGCCTGATCGGCTCCAACATTATCCAGATGCATCACCTTTATGCTTGTCAAAACCGTCCAGTTCTCTCCCCCATTTCGTTGTATCTCTCCCTCACTCGCAGGACGAGACCTTTGACATCATGAACCCTGCTGGAAGACCGTTTGCAGCACGCCTACAGTACTAGAGAATCAGCGATTTGCATCTCAACTTTCTGTCCGATACCGATCCAATCCCCCTTATAACCCAATTGCAGGACGAGACCTTCGACATCATGAACCTACTGGAGGACCGGCTGCAGCACGCCAACAGCGCTGAATGTGTCATCCTTCGCATCTTGCCTCTTCTCTAGGTTCTTGTTTCCAACGCCTCACTCCCCCACTTGCAGGACGAGATCTTCGATATCATGAACCTGCTAGAGGACCGGTTGCAGCACGCCAACAGCGCCGTTGTGCTGGCCACCACCAAGGTCTTCCTCCACCTCACCATGTCCATGGCAGACGTCCACCAACAGGTACGTACCGCTGACGTTTATAGGATACCGGACTCGACACTTCTCGGCCAGAACCGAGCTTGGTCACCCGGCTTGACAATCTAATCCTAGCCCGATTGCATCTCCAATTGACCCAACTTCGAACCAAAACTTGAATTTTCTTGGGCCCAAAGAATATATTGAGTCGACAATGTTTCGATTGGAGAGCGATTGGTGCGAATCGGCAGGGATTAGGCTTTGAGCGGGGTCAGTTCCGAAACAAATCGGTCCAGAAGTGTACAGTGCGAGTATTCTTCAGATTCCCACTTGCTGCGTTCTGCTGGTAGTGCGTTCCTTTGTCCTGCTGCTATCATATTTTCTGGGGGCGCTCGAGCGAGCCTTTCCGATCCTGACTCTCTCTCCCCTAGATTTTTGGAACCGTCGTCTGGTCCTATGTTTCGCAATCGTTTGAGGGAGTCGAAATCAGTTGCAAAGCTTATGGTTCACGCAAATGAAGTGTCCCCGCTCTGTGCTCATTTCGAGCAGCCCTGAGCGGCCTGTAGCACTGCAACAACATCCCTTGAAGATGTAACACAAACTCTATTCTGGAAGCCTGTCCATGTTCACACTCACTTACAGGCCTCAGAAGGAATTCGATGCTTCCTTAATCTCCCACTTGAAACACCTTGCTGGAAGGAAAGAGCACAGGGAACAGGATCGTAAGAAGGAAGCAACGCTGAACACGTTCTGATTCCCCAGGTATATGAGCGCATCAAGGCGCCTCTGCTGACGCTCATCAGCACTGGCAGCCCCGAGCTGGCATATGCCGTGCTGAGTCACCTACATTTACTGGTGACACGTGCCCCGATGCTGTTCGCCGCGGACTACAAGCACTTTTACTGCCGCTTCAGCGACCCGTCGTACGTCAAGAAGCTCAAGCTGGAGATGCTGACGGCGGTGGCTAACGAGGCCAACACCTATGACATTGGTAAGTGATGATTGGCTCTCTCAGATGGCTTGGCTTCATGGGTTTTCCGAATTTAGATGGTGCGCTTCTTGCGTTTGAAGTTCGTCTGTCAACGTACGATTGTAGCAGCGCGGAGGTAGGAGAAAGTCGGGAGCCGCCGCCCAGAAGATGCGCACAGTAGTCAATGGTTTTTTTCCAAGTAGACAGACCTTGACTTTTCCGAGGCCCCGCTCGAAGGCGAGAGCTGACACGGTCGCCTCCTCGCCGAGAGCTGAAAGGATTCATAGCTCTTTGCCATCTTGCCACCCCACTTTTCAATGTAGTAAGTGCGGGTTTAAAAGGCACTGGGAAGCCGTTGCATCGCTGATTGTACGGTTCAAGATCGGGAACTCGATTGGTACGTCTGACGCAAACAGCTGTGAAACAAGATGAAAGTCTTCCACTTAGCATAAACAGATGTTTTGGTAATAAATTAGTATTTCTAGAAAGAAAGGGTTGTTGGTCCGCGTCTCTGCAGTGACTGAGCTGAGCGAGTACGCTGCGAACGTGGACGTGGTGATTGCTCGCGAGAGCGTGCGTGCGGTGGGCCAGATCGCGCTGCAGAGCTACGACGTGAACGGCATCGTGGACCGCCTGCTGCAGTTCCTCGACATGGACACGGACTACATCACGGCAGAGACGCTGGTGCGCGCTAAACCTCCACTTTCTCGACTTCGCTCTTTTCGACCCATTCCGTGTCTCTTTCCTCACAACTCTTTGTCGCTCAACATCAAATCAAGTTGCATGCCCGGTGCATTTGAGGGGTTTTCCTCCATTCGATCCAATCATCTCCTCGTTCTGATCATGCCTTGTGCCTTTCCTTCTTTACCTTCCAAGTCGCTTCTTCTCAGACAGAAACGCTAGTGCGTGCCAGTCCTTTTATCCTTCCTTTTATCTTTTTAATCCTTAAGCTTCCACTTTTCATTCTTTCTTCTTTGTTCAGTTGGGTCTTGATCCTGTTTTTCGTCAATGCTCCTTCGAGTGATCTATGTTCAATACCCCCCTACTTGAAAACAACATCCACCATCCATTGCACAGCCCATGAAGGTCTTACTACCACGGACTGTCATCGTACCTTTGAAGCTAAGAGTCACTCGCTGTCATATTTACGAGGCTTTCCCACCCGGTTTCGCCTCTCACTTGGACTTTTGTTGACACTTCTGATCTCACCCGGCGAAGTCCAGAAGCGCTTTGGGGACGAGATACAATAAGGCTTAGTCTTTTGAGCACCTGATATTGCGGAGGGGCCGAGTCGCTCTTCCAGCAGCTGGAGATTCGCTTTTTTCTTCCGATTCAGGCCTGCTTTATGGAGCTCTCTTGTACTCGACCCTCGTTGAAGCTGCTGGTCAATTGCCCTGCAACTCAACTCCTCTTCCAGTTCATTCACTGGGGTTTCTCACCTGAGGGCAGTAAAACTTCCCGGATGGCTGCTCCTTGCTTGCTCAAGTAATACGTGTCTGCTCATTTATGGTCACCCTGTCCACCTCTATAAGACATTAGTCCGAACTTACAATCACGCATTTCATCTCAGGTCCTGGTCAAGGACCTGCTGCGCAAGTACCCTGAGTGGGCCGAGTCGTGCGTGGCGGTCATCGGCGGCGTCTCACACACGGCCGTCTCGGAGCAGCCCGCAAAAGCCGCGCTCGTGTGGATGCTTGGCGAGTACGGCCAAGACGTGCCCGACGCACCATACGTTTTGGAGTCGATCGTCGAGAACTGGGCGGAGGAGGAGAGCGAGACGGTGCGGCTGGAGATCCTAACGGCGGTCGCGAAGCTGTTCTTCAAGCGGGCACTGGAGTGCCATCGGCTATTGGGGCGGGTGTTGAAGCTGGGAACGGAGGATGGAAACCAGGTGAGGGGGCGGGCTTAGAGCGGATTAGGATAAGTGAAGAGGTTTACGCCCCTGCTTTCTCCGGGGCTTTGAAAATTAAAGAGTGGTGTTTTGGGAGGTTTCGGTGTTTGGCGGGTGCAGGGGTTGTGATCTTCAGCGTAGTTGTGATGAAACGCATCCACGTCATCATGTAACACTCTGAGGGTTGGGGCCCACGGTTTTGTTCGTCGGCGTCTGAAGCTATGGCTTCTAAGGCTTGATTATGTGTTATTTTTCTTGGGCTCTTGTGCTTTGGATATGGAAGTCAACGGACGATGGGCGAGGAGGATGCTTTCTCGGGAGGCTTGAAAGGGCTGCAAAATGGATTTGGGAGTCGCCAATGGTAGGAAGCTCCTGGAACATACTCGAGCGCGGGAACCGGTAGACCGGTACTTCGGTCGAACACGGAAATAATCCAATCCAATGCTTTGGCAGCAACTTTGGCCAGTCTGCGCAGCCTAACACCCTTCAGCTACAGTACGATTGTCCTCCGGGAAAGCCGTGCTTTAAAACCCGAGATCGGATTGGGCCTTATTTAATGAAGCGGTCCAGAGCTCTTGATACAACCGGAGGGCTCCCCGAAAAGATATTGCTGTTCCCCCTCCCTGAAACCCCCCTCTTTTGCTCCCCCCAGGACGTGCACGACCGCGCGCTGCTGTACTACCGGCTGCTCCAGCAGGGCGCTGACGTGGCGCAGAAGGTGATCAACCCAGAGAAGCGCGCGGTGAACGAGTTCGCCGAGACGCAGAGCAGCGAGGCCAAGGACCGCATCTTCGACGAATTCAACACGCTCTCCGTCGTCTACCGGCAGGTGAGTCCGCCGTACTTTGGAGTGTGCGGAAATTTGCAGAGTCTGATGCGGAATTGTATCTTTTGGCCAGTTCTGTAAAGGCTTCTTGGCAGACAGTATCGTCTGCATTTTCGGCAATTCTGTGAAGACTTTTTGTCAGAAAGTTTTTTCTGCCTGTGACATGCAAGTGTCAGAAATGCAATGGCCGCAGCGGCAAGGGTCAACGGAAGGTACTGCCATCGATCCCCTTAGTCATCGCTAGGGGCTCTACACGTCCACTTTTGGGTTGATGGTCTAACGCCCGACACCCCTGAATCAAATCTAATGTCGACTGTGTTGTGCTTCACTGCAAACCCCGGAATCCATCTTCTACTGCCTTGCGGGTGCAGTTTTGTAAGCATTTTGCAGTGATTGCTTCCCTTTCGACCTTCACCGAGGCTAGCTTATAAGGCTGTCGTTTCGAAGTCGTTCAAATTCCCGGGTCGCTCTATCAGATAGTCAGCACCAATTATTCCATTCTACACCCAGCGGACTCAGGATGCTCGTACTTGCCCCGTACTTCAATTATGGTTCCAACCATCTCTTCTGGCTGCACAGTCCACTGCCCTTGACGGCGCACATTTCGACATGGCCCTGACGTCATCACGGCCGCTGCCACAGTCCCCTTTCTGACGTCATCCATGCTTTTCTTGCTGCGCAGCCGTCCTTCCAGTTCATGGCCAAGGAGCAGCCTAAGGCGGGCGCCTCCAGTGAGGAAGACCCCGCGACTCCAACGGGCGTCCTCCAAGGGGGGGGCGACTTTGCGCACCAAGAGCTGCTCTCGGGGGCCGAGAAAGAAGAGGTTGCGGCGCCGCCCCCCACGGCATCCAACGGCGCCGAGACGTATAGCGCCCCGAACGTGCTCGACATCATGTCCGGCCCGCCGGCGAACGGGAACGCGGCGTCCGTTTCCGGCGACCCGTTCGCGACGTCGACAGGCGCGCCGGTCGCCGACAACGCGCCCAGTAGCTCTGGTGGCGGCGCCGGGGGGCTGGACGATTTGCTTGGTGGGTTCGGGGGCCAGTCGACCAGCCAACCGCAGCCCCCCCCGCCGGCACCGGCGCTGCAGTTGGTCCCCCGGCCGACGCTCGACGCGGGGACGTTTCAGCGGAAGTGGGGGCAGTTGCCGGTCGGGCAGGCCGTCGAGGATTCGTTCGCGCCCGCGGCGCTCGCGAAGCTGACGACGCCGCAGGCGCTGTTGCGGCATATGGCGAGCAACAGCATCGCGTGCATGGCGTCCGGCGGGAACGCTCCGACGTTCCGCTTCTTCTTCTACGCGCAGAACGCGGATGCGAGCGGGTTCTTCCTGGTCGAGTTAATAGTGAACACCGCGAAGGGGACGGCGAGCACGAAGGTCAAGGCGGAGCAGGCGCACTTAGTGGAGCCGTTTGTGCAGATGTACAGAACTGCCTTGCAGAGTTTTTGAGGCACCAGATATTGTGGGGCTTTATACAAGTCTGGGTCCGGACGTCACCAAAGCACATAAATAGTCTTATAAATTGTTCTGGGGCTGCCTTCCAAGCACATAATTTCTCTTCCACACACTCGCTTGCCGAATTATGATCATGACCAACTTTCTCGAGGATCCGTTTTGATATGTTCGCCCCAATGATGTGTCGTCAGCACGTGCGCGTACGATCTGCACGGGCTGATCTCGCCACATCCGCCAATACGTGTTTTTATGCATGGATCGAATATACGGACTGAATCCGGAGACATGCACTCATTATCTTGAAACAGAGCTATTTGCCGCGAGGATCTGCTGCAGGCAGTGATCTTTGACGCACGCAATTACTATACCTATAAACCTACATGCATGACTGACAACAAGCATACGTTGCATGGTTATCGTACGCGTACATATGCATGGGTTACAATGAAAGCAATCTCGCGAACGCTTTTGGAAGATCTTGAAAGGAGCTCGATCGATCTTACATGCAAGCTATAGCTAGCTAAAAAGTAACATTGATTCTTGGAACTTTTCTCCAGCTGTAAGATTGATGATGAGATATATGCATATCCGCAAGTGACGATCCATCATGTACGCGGCACCATCTGCCTATTGCATGCGGCTCGGATATAAGCCTTGTGAGAATTGTACTGGTTTGAATGGAACTTTGTCAAACTCTTAACAACGTTTGCAACAATCAGGTGCCAATGCCCGCATGCATTTTGTGAATCTAGTGACGGTCCAGTCCCTTTGCTACGTTGCGTCACCTTACGGTCTGGTGAAACGTGGCACTTATACTGCACGTCATGTGTAGATGATGGCTACAGTTGGCAGAAGATCGTGGGAGTGCATTATTTACCTATCAACGTTCCAAGGCTGTGCCAGGACGGGTCGCTTTCGCACGCCACCTGATAGCTCTGGCATGCGTAACTGGTGCTTTGCTATTGGTGATAACTTGGGTCGAAAGGTCATGCGCAGCATGGCGCGACGATAGATGACGGAATGATCTTATGGGGATTTGCGAATTGAAAGTAACGCGCGCTGGCTATGTAGTATGCGTAGCTGCTGTACACAACGTTCTTCTGATACAACTCAATACATCGAAAGAATCCAATCACCCTTCAGCTTTTATGAGGCTTTTATAGGGTACTTTGCCTCTCAGTTGATCACTTGAGCCCACGACCACTACTTTGAAGCTTTGGTACCATAATCAGACTCTTAAAACCTTCCTTTGTAGGTTGTTGCCTCTTGGCTGTCTGCTACAATTAGTACCATCAAAGATGTACCTGATGTTTAGTATCAAAGCGCAGGCCAGAGCAGATGTTTCTATGTTTCTGCCCTACTCAAAGAAACATTCCTCAACATAGGACCTGAGTGCTTCCTTCCTTTCCTCTCCTCGCTTTACAGCCGCTGTGTAGAGCGCTTTCCGACGCTTCAGCTCCGGTAAAGACAGCTTCTTCAAGACCTCCTCAATCTCGTCTTCCTTGATACTTTCCACATGTGCCAAAGGAGGCGCCGGCCCAGGACGAGGTGCAGGATGCTTGGATCTTAAAGACGGACCAGCAGAAGCAGATTCCATATTGAGATGATTTATTGTAGCGTGATCAAACCGTAGGCTTCTCCGCCCGTTCTCCGATCCTGGGAGAGTTGATCAAGAGATGATCTTCTCCCGCGCGCCGCAGACTCTTCACAAACTCTGTCACTCCACGATCTTTTGATGAGGCCGAGCGCAAACTTAAAGTCGAAGGGTTAAAGAAGTCCGGCCTTGCGCTACTTACAGTACACCTAACAGCTAGCCTTTACCTAACTGATCGAAAGCGGGCCAGTGGGGCGCCAGTGCTGTCGGATCGATTTCCGGCCGGCCGGCCATGCGCAGGCGATTCCGGTGCGGCCGCGGACTTGATATGGGCAAGGGCCGGGGTTTGGAGGGTTGGAATGGACTCTGACTCGTTGGTCCCGTCCGAAATCCTCTGCGGGAAACGCAACTAACTGCTTGTTGGCATAAAATCCGCCAATCTCAGGCCGCCACGTGTCCCCCATCCTGCGCGGCCCCGCGATCGGCCGGAACAACTTGAACCAGCGGGGAGGTTGAAAGTCCGCTCGGTAAACCGCTTTTCGGGTGAAACGGGTTTGTGGAAAAAATCTTCGTTTTTTGGACGCGGTTTTCAAGTTTTGGGTTTTGACCGCGATCGCCGACACTTGACGCGGCTTTCTGACCTTCCAACCGTCCGTACATTGCTCCAGTGCGAACACTAACCCTAAGTCTGCCGAAGTCATACCATATCTCGAGTCTGAGACTCCGACTCCGGCTCCGGCCCCGGCCCCGGCCCCGGCCCGTCAGGCCCGGCACGCGGTTGGGTTCAAACTTCCTCGACCGCTCGTGCGGCGAATTAAATTTGATTGACACTGGACCGTACGGAACAATCCAGGACTCCGATGTCACCGTGCGATGACAGCGTTAACGCTTGTAGAGCAGCCTAAAAACCTTACTGCAAACGTAGTGTAAAACCATTACCAAGGGCGGGTTGGGTTACTATTAGGGCTAACCTCAATTGCTGTCAAGCAAAATCCCGAGAAAAATGGGCTAGGTACCCGAAATTTGACAAGCCTACCCCACCAATGCAGAGCAAATATGCAGAATTTGCCTTGACAGTCTTGTTTCTCTTTCTTTGCTGATGCGTTTTCATCTATCGTATGCCCTCATTGGCCCAGATACGAGAGAGATTTTTATAGATGAATGGAACTCAGCACAGCGCTGAGCGCTGCAGACAGTCAACAGCTTGTTCAAGAGGTATTATAGAAGGGGTAATGTGACAAATAGGGCTTTGCGCATTTGCATGGCCACTAATACCTAAGTCCAATCAAGTAGAATTGTAAAGATTATAAAGCTAAACCATAAACTATTGATCGGAAGTAGCCATAAAAGTCTACACATGACCGTAAACTGCGTGCTTCAGCAATGGACTTGTGCCGTTTTGCCATGTAACGGTAAGGTTATATACATGTTTAACTAAGGTGCGCAACTTGCTTGAAGCTCAAATGAGTTTCAAATATTGCAACTATGGCCTCTTTTTGTTCTAGCTCAATTTTGCGTTGTAGCTCTCTGCGCAATTCTCTGTGCATGCATATCTCATGCACAGTGGTTTGGGAGAGCATGCAGCCTGGCCACTGATCAAGCTACTGAAGCCATTGGGTAAGTACACGGGTAGTACGATCCTACCTGTGCAATCAGAAGTTAGAACTTTGAGCAGTCACTAAATTCTACCGAATACGGCACCAAGTGTGTACCTTCGCCTACCCGGGACTGAGAGCGCCGCGCGACCTACTTGATTTTGCGTACGGTATAAACCTTCGGCTGGTCAACATTTCCGTCGATGTCAGCCGCGTGTTACAATCGAACGGTGAATCGAGTGGAGACCGCAATTCGGCCTGAACCTCCGGTCTTCGCGGAAATAAGTTAGCTCCAATTTTCTCCATTCAGCTGCCTGGCGGCTAGCCTGACTGAGAGTCCGCTGAAGGCTGAAAACCGCCATGCTGCCATGCCAAGTTTGTCCGTCTGGCGTAGTGTGGGCCTTCACACACAGAATTGACTTCATGGACAGCACGGACATTTGAAGACAGAGATTTTGAAAAGTCCGGTCAAGCTCGAAAATACTTGTCAGCATTGTGGAGCTCTCTGTACTTAGGCTGTCCGAATTTAATTTCCGGTTTCCTGTCCACCCCCTTCGGGGGTGGGTCGGTCGGTCGGGAGTATCTGATAAATATTGCCCCGAGCCGCGGCAATGGTTATATCTGGCTAAAGTACCATTATCGCATTCTAGTCGGGTACCTCGGTACGTACCAAGTGACAGAATAGGTACTCAAAAGGTACCTACTGCCTGGTACCTACTGCTATCGTATCTGGACTACCTAGTACACTGTACGAGTCGTAACTTGCCGTACAGCTCCGAGCTCGGACTCCGGAGCCCCCGAGAGTCTGCCGGCCATGCAAAAAGGTCCATCTACACCGACCGAATTGTCTGACCTGTGCGTGCCCGGTGCCTGGAGAACTGCTGGAGCCGTGCACGACCGGTTGTCTGAAAGGTGCACGAGGATTGGTTGCATCAAGACCGAATCTCCTGTATAGTACAGTATACGGTCGCCAATTACCGAGTCCGGGGAGTCCCTGGATGGGCAAATCCGCCCCCTTTCGACCGAATGTCTTGTCAAATCTACCGACCGGACAAAAATCGGTCGCGGCGTCACGACCGAAATAGCACATTAGGGAGGATTGGACGGCGATTCCGTCTTCTCCAAGCGACCGAATTGCCGTTGCCGGAACTTACCTCCCGGCAACTTAGTCGTATTCCGACTGAAACCCTATGGAAATTTCAGCGTGCTATAAATGACTACAATTTCGAAGTGGGATTGGTTGCATGGTTGACTTCGAAAGGATTTCAAGTTGCTATCTTGTAAAAAAGAACATTTACGTGACAAAGTGGAGTACTACGATACTTACGATGTATCGTATGCCTCGCTTACCGTCACAACTAACTTCGTATACATATTTATATGCACAATTGCAACTATGCCGTATCGTCCACCATGTTTGTTCAACTTATTACTATGCATGATCGCAACATGCATATTGGAAAGTGTCAATGAATCCACATTACATATATACATATTTTGTTTATCGATTTGGCACATGTCGTATAGATGCCAATTTCAATTTACATGAATATAGTTTAATTTCGAAATCAAACTTATGTGCCGTATGCAGTTTCATCTACTTCGGCATCATTCGCGATTGTTTGGATAGTTCGACAATATTGAAACTTGTCACGGCTTGTTAACGTCATTGTCTGTGATCATGTGTGCCATGCACAATTGTATGTATATTAACATCTACGATCATCCATGCTTGACTCTCATTCCCAAATTCGTTGACCATCA